GAATTATTTTAAATGGAGTTTTTTTCTAACTAGTTATTGTTTGTGATTGAAAGTTGTTTTTTTTTTCTTTTAAAGGTTTATTTTATTTATTTGAAAGAGTTACAGAAAGAGAGAGCGAGATAGAGCGAACTTCTATCTGCTGGTTCACTTCTAGGCTGGACCAATGCCAGGAGCTTCTTCTGGCTCTTCCATGTGGGTGCAGGGGCCCAAGGACATTGAGCTAACTTCCAGCGCTTTCCCAGGTGCGTTAGCAGGAAGCTGGATTGTAAGTGGAGCAGCCAGGACATGAACCAGTGCCCACGTGGGATGCTGGCATCACAGGCGGCAGCTGTACCTGCTGTGCCACAGCGCTAGCCCCAGCTGTTGATTTTTGTGAGTTCTTTCACTGAGTTTTATCGCTGATTCTCTGGGGGTTTCTGGGTATATGATAATTTCTACAAACACCTCTAGTATAACGTTCAACAGAAACGGAGATGGTGACACCTTTCCCTTGTTCTTTTATTGTTTTCTTAGAGGATTAAAATGTTTTTAAGATTTTATTTGAAAGTAAAAGGCAGATGAGAGAGAGGGAGAAAGAGATGGAAAGAGAGAAAGAGGTCTCCTGTCTGTTGGTTCATTCCCCCAAATGCTCACGACAGCCTGGGCCAGGCAGAAGCCAGGAGCTGGGAGCTCAGCCAGGGCTCCTGGGTGGCATCACCTGTGCCTCCCAGGGTGCGCATGAGCAGGAAGCTGGAGGCAGGAGTGGAGCCGGCACTCGGACGCAGACAGTCCAGTCTGGGGTGCAGGTGTCCCAGGCAGCATCCTAGCCCCTGTGCCAAACGCCCATCCCTCGTCCTTGATCTTAGGAAAACGTGTCCCCGTTTGATCAGATACTGGCAGGGTTGGAAGTGGACCTGCTGGCTAGGGTGCCTGCCTCGCTGACCGTGGGTTTGATGCCCTTCTCTGGCTCCCGACTCCAGTGTCCTGCCAGTGTGGGTCCTGGGAGGCAGCAGTGACCACCACAGGTAACTGGGTGCTGACCCCCACCTGGCAGTGTCTGGCTCCTTGCTGTGGCCTAGCTCAGCCCTGACTGTTGCAGCAATTGTCCTTTGCCTACAAAATGTTCCAATTAAAGCATTTTAGAAAGATAGTGACCTTTGGCCGGCGCCGCGGCTCACTAGGCTAATCCTCCGCCTAGCGGCGCCGGCACACCGGGTTCTAGTCCCGGTTGGGGCGCTGGATTCTGTCCCGCTTGCCCCTCTTCCAGGCCAGCCCTCTGCTGTGGCCAGGGAGTGCAGTGGAGGATGGCCCAGGTGCTTGGGCCCTGCACCCCATGGGAGACCAGGAAAAGCACCTGGCTCCTGGCTCCTGCCATTGGATCAGCGCGGTGTGCCGGCCGCAGCGCGCCAGCTGCAGCGGCCATTGGAGGGTGAACCAACGGCAAAAGGAAGACCTTTCTCTCTGTCTCTCCCTCTCACTGTCCACTCTGCCTGTCAAAAAAAAAAAAAAAAAAAAAAAAGATAGTGACCTTAGAACTAAGGTGTGTGTATTTTGTCTTGTTTAAGACTATTAGCTTCAATTCCTGTTTTTAGAACATTTTTGTCATAAGCGCATTCTAAAGTATGTTGAGTGATTTTTCAGCATCCATGAAGGGGTCACGTTGTTTTTTCCTTACAGTAATAACGTGGTGCGTGATGTTAATGTGCGTGATGTTAACATGGTGCGTGCTGTTAACGTGGCGCGTGATGTTAACGTGCTGCGTGATGTTAATGTGCGTGATGTTAATGTGTGTGATGTTAACATGGCGTGTGATGTTAACGTGGTGCGTGATGTTAACGTGGCCCGTGATGTTAACGTGGCGCGTGATGTTAACGTGGCCCGTGATGTTAACGTGGCGTGTGATGTTAACGGGTCTCTAAGTGTGAACACATCCTGCATTCTGGAAGATGTCTTCCTTGTTCGTGGCAGGTAATTTTGCCAACGTGGTGCTCTGTCTGGCGGGGTGTTTCTGCACTGATGCTCACGAGTGACACTGGTCTAGTCCCTCTCCTGTTCTTGTCTGTGACCAGTGTGTGATTTCTTCGTCAGAGGAGAGGAAGCTTTCCTCGTTTCTCAGAGCCCGGGCCTCCCTTAGAGAGAGCCGTGGGCCTGGCTGCTCCTGGAGCTTCGGCAGCAGTGCCCTGCCACCCTCTGGTCTGGTGCTCCCGGTGAGGCACCAGCGTGGTGACTGATCCTTCTGTGGAAATCACCCGTTCGCACTCGCCAGCAGAAGTGGGGTCAGCTTTATGACCGTAATTTCTTTCTTGAAGATTTATTTTATTTTATTTATTTGACAGGCAGAGTAGACAGTGAGAGAGAGAGAGACAGAGAGAAAGGTCTTCCTTCTGATGGTTCACCCCCAAATGGCCGCAACGGTCGGTGCGCTGTGCTGATCTGAAGCCAGGAGCCAGGTGCCTCCTCCTGGTCTCCCATGGGGTGCAGGGCCCAAGCACCTGGGCCATCCTCCACTGCCTTCCCGGGCCACAGCAGAGCGCTGGACTGGAAGAGGAGCAGCCAGGACTAGAACCCCGGCACCCATATGGGATGCCAGTGCCGCAGGCGGAGGATTAACCAAGTGTGCCACAGCACCGGCCCCTTATGACCTTAATTTCCTTAGGAAATTGTCCGTTTCTTCTCATTTTCAGATTGATTTGCAGACTGCAAAGTAGTACCTTACCTTCAAAAAAATGTATTGTTTTCTTGATTATTTCTCTTGGTGTGCATTTCTTAATCTCTGCATCGGTGCTCCTTCTCATTTTTTCTTGGTCAACTTACTGGTTTGTCTGTTTTTTTAATCCCCCTGACCTTCCCCCTCCTAAGAAAAAAAGGCTTAGGGACAGGTGTTTGACGTGGCCGTTAGAGTGCTGCTCAGGAGGTCCAGGCCCACCGCAGCGTGCCTGGGTCTGCATCCCAGATCTGCGCTCTGCCGGGCGGCAGGTGATGCCTCAGGTCCTTGGGTCCCTGCCACCAGGTGGGAGACCCTGACTGAGTTCTGAGCCCCTGCTGTTGAAGGCATTGGAGAGTGAGCCACTGGATGGGAGATCTTTGTTTGTCTGGGTCTCTGCCTTTCAAACAAGTAAAAATAAATGAATACAAATTATTTTTGTAGACAGTTTATTCATTAGCTTGTTGTCTTTCTATTTTGTTCCTCATTAATTTCAGCTTTTCCCTTTATTTTTTCCTTGTGTTTTCCTTTGGCTTCCTTCTGTTTTTTCTTCCAGTTTTTTATGAGCTTGGAATTATTAATGAATTACTTTTTATTCTTTCGTCTTTATTGCTAAAAGTGTTAGTGCAATGAATTTTTCTCTGTTGCTTTAAACATATTTCACAGATTACGGTATGTGGTGTGTGCATTGTAATCTTTCTCCTTAATTCTGTATTTTCAGTTTGTGGTCTTTCTTTCACCTAATAGACAGAGGTAATAGGAGGAGGTAATAATAGGATTTTAGAATTTCCAGGTGGACGACGAGCTTGCCGTTTTTTGCTTTTGTAGATAATGAGCATTTCTGTTGCTTTTTGATCAGAAGGTATTATTTGCAGGGGCCGATGTTGTGGCGTAGCGGGATAAGCCATCACCTGCATCACTGCCATCCCACATGGGCAGTGGTTCAAGGCCCGGCTGCCCCGCTTCTGATCCAGCTTCCTGCCAGTGCACCGGGAAGGCAGCAGAAGATGCCCAGTGCTTGGGCCCTTGCCACTCACCTGGGTGACCCGGGTGGTGTTCAGGCTCCTGAGTTCGGGACTCCTGGCGTCTGCCTGGCCCAGCCCTGGCCATTGGGGCCATTTGGGGAGTGAACCAGTAGATGGAAGATCTCTGTTTCTCTTACTCTCTACAAATGCCTTTCAAATAAATAACTAAATCCTTTTAAAAAGTCTTAAAAAATCAAGGAAAGTGCTGTCTGCATCCTTTGGAGATCCCAGTCGCCAGGGCACCGCCGAACGCGTTTCTGTAGGAGCTGCCTTGCGGGACGACTGTATTTAGGCCCTTCGTCCCCTTACTGATGTTTTGTGCATTTGATCTGCATTTTACTGAGCATGGCCCGTCCAGGTCCTGTTCCCCGCGTCTGTCTCCGTCTGTCTCTGCTTATGAAAGCATTGGTTGTCGTTCGTAGATGCCCGTGAGTTCTGGAAGTCAAGAGTGAACCCCAAGAAATTATGTTAAGCAGTTCTGGGTCCAATAATTTTTGCTTTAATTTTTAAATATCTATTTTAATGTGTTTTAGAGAACAACAAAACTAGCACTATGGTATGAGGTTTCTAGACTGAATAGATCCATTAAGTTAAAAAAAAAAAGGCTGTTTAGAAAACATTAACGCAGATAATACACAAAACTGGCAAGCGTAACTGTGGCGGTGGGGAGCAGGGCGGGGCGGGGTGGTACTGTTACCTTAAAAATACGCAAGGTTTTGAGACACTGGAACTGGACACTTATTTCCTGTAGCCTTAGAGGATTTTGAGGATTTTATAATTATCTTTTTCAGTTCACGTGAAAGCAAACACCAAATGTTGATTTTCCCAAAGGTTATCGATGTGAGCTGTGTAACTTTTTAAATAAACAAAATTAATTTGCTCTTCAGTGCCAGTAAGACAGAGGATTATTTGTATGTGAATTACTCATTTTGCATTAGAAAATTACGTGAGTACAATGTGTTGAACATACACCTAGTTTCTTGATAGGTTTTGCACACTTTCAATATCAGTACGCCAGTCACAATGGTTTATTATAAGAATTTCAGCCAAATTTGTTTTAAAATGACTATTTTAAATGTATGAAGCTAAGCACATATCAGACAGAGCTAGGAATAATGAGGTCACGTGGAACGACGGCTGTCTCGCGGAAGAAGTAGTTGGAAGCTGTTTCCCCGAACGTCCCATCAGGGTTCCTGCGGCACGGGGTCGCATGTGCCCTGTGTTCTCTGAAAACAAGCTCACAGCGCCGGGTGCTTTACCAGGCCATCAAAGTGAACTTTTGTTTGTTTCAGAAACGGCTGTGCAGGCGATCAGAAGCCAGTGCGCCCGAGCGAGGGTGCCACCAGGTGGGCACAGGCGTCCTGGCGTCTGGCAGCACAGAGGACCCTGCCCCCAGGCCCGAGGGTGGCCAGGGGAGACCCAGTGCAGTGGTACGTTCCTACCCCACCCCCCCATTTAAAGTCTTGGCGGGCAGTGCAAGCAGCATTGGTCTGATGCCTCTGCCGCTGTGCTTTGTTGACCAGATCCTGCAGAGTGGCTCCAGGAGCGCCGCCCAGCCTTGCCGGAGGTGTATTGCCGGGGAGTCTGTAAGTGCATTAGCCCTCTCGCCGGGGCGTGAAGGATGGGAGACCCGCAAAGCAGAGTTAACACAAACCGCAGTTTCAGGGCCAAGGAGCGAGGGACACACGTCAGGAGGCGAGACTGGCTGAGCTTTCCTTCCGTTCCGTTGAGGGGCAAACCAATTTGTTTCCAGCTTCCGACTGGAAGTAGGAGTTGTAAATGCATTTAAAATGCATTCTAAAAGGCAACTTTTAGGGAAAGAAGCAAGCCACTTGATTTGGTGGGAAGACTCAAATGTGGACACCTTGGAGGAAAGCTCCAGCCTTCCCGCCTAATTTCCAAATAGGAGTTTGTCTTTTGTCCCCGTAAACTTTCCTCCGGTGTCTGTCAGCTCCACGTGAACTGCAGGTTTCGGGAGGAAGCGGGAGGCTCGGGGCTGCCAGATCCGAATCCTCGCTGTCCTCGGTTGGGCAGAAACCCTGAAGCCCACAGTAGCATAATAATGCCTGCGTAATTAATTTTGAACTTCCTCTAAGAACAAGTTAATATGTTTTTGATAACCTCTATAATTCTTGGGGTTTTTTTATTTTAAGTTTGGAATCTTAATATTGCAATAAAACAGAATTATATTTAAATTCCACATAGAAACCAGGAATTTGTGTCTGTGTGTGCACGTGTGTGCATGCATTTCTGAGATTGCCCCCTAAAGATCTTCAGAGAAACATATCACTGTGTTTCTGATAAGCACAAGATTGAGTCAGTAAATTACAGAGGTCCTCGGCTGACACGTCGCAGGCCCCTGTGCCTTCGGAGGCTTGACACTGATTCTGTTTTAAACAAAGACCGAACATCATGACAGCCACCATCCCAGTGAGCCTCTGCTTACAGGACTTTGCTAAACAAATTAGGAGCAAAGTTTCATGGGAAGCTGCTCCATGAATTTGTAGTTGCTGCTTTTTGTACTCGGCCGGAAGAGAAATTCCCACCCGTTATGCTGTGTTCTGTGGTGTAATTCGAGCAGTGATGGAGTTAGAGATGCAGCAATTTGAATCTAGTATCTTCAGGTTGACTCATTCAGCTGCCAGACATAGCTTGGCATACAGACGGATAATCCCTGAGCAGTGTGGCGTAGTGGGTTGAGCCGCCGCCTGCAACACCAGCATCCCTTGTAGGCGCCAGTTTGAGTCCCAGCTGCTCCACTTCCTACCCAACTCACTGCTGAAGGGCCAGAGTAACTACATTTTGAAAAAGTGGGCTGGCGCCACGGCTCACTAGGCTAATCCTCCGCCTGTGGCGCTGGCACCCCAGGTTCTAGTCCCGGTTGCCCCTCTTCCAGTCCAGCTCTCTGCTGTGGCCTGGGAGGGCAGTGGAGGATGGCCCAGGTCCTTGGGAGACCAGGAAGAAGCACCTGGCTCCTGGTTTCGGATCAGCGCAGCGCCGGCTGTAGCAGCCACTTGGGGGGGTGAACCAACGGAAAGGAAGACCTTTCTCTCTGTCTCTCTCACTAACTCTGCCTGCCAAAAAAAAAAAAAGTGCCTCTATTCAGGGGCCCGACTTCCTGTAAAATCAGGGGAAACCGAACAACAGAACAGCTTGTTAGCTTCACGTGTAAGGAAATCCCCTGGGTCCGAATCAATCAGGAACAACCGTGTTCCCTCAGGAAATACCAGAGGTGACCCCAGCCAATCCGCTGTTACCCCGCACCCCTCGATGACATACCCTGCCTTAAAAGAGGCTCCCGAGCCTGGCTTGGGATCTTCCTCTGCCCTCCGCTGCGCAGTTGGTTAGATGGGTCCCTGCCACGGCTTGTACTTCCGAAATAAACCTGGCTCTTGCATTTCGGTGTGTTCGAGTCTCTGGTGGCGTTTGGGGATCCAATGATCTGGGCACAACACTGCTAATGTTCTGGGAAGGCAACAGAAGATGGCCCAAGTGTTTGGGCCCCTGCCCCACATGGGAGACCCAAATAGCGTTCCAGATTCCTAGCTTTGGCCTGGCCCAGCCCTGGCTGTTGCGACCAACTGGGGAGTGAACCAGCAGGTGGAATATCTCTCTGTCTCCCTTTCTCTTTAACTCTGCCTTTCAAATAAATACATAAGTAAACAAATCTTTACAAAAGGGAGAAATGTGGCCCCATTCCGGTGGCTGCCCCACTGTGTCTCTCAGGTTCCCCACCTGTGGACGCAGGCGCTCCCAGCACTCCCCCCTCCCCGCTCCCCCTGTGATTGGGCCGTTCGGCTAATGGTCTGTTTGAGCAGTAGGACCTGCTGGATCAGGGCTTTCCTGCCTTTGTAATTCCCCAGGCTTCTCTCTGTTAGGTTTCACAGGAAATGAATCTATGAGCAGAAAACCTACATTGATATGTAAACATCATTTTTTTTGGTTAATGCTCAATATTCTTTTCATCTAAATTTCAGAAACTGACTTTAAAAAATCAGTTTCCTTTTATTTGTAGTCATTCTCAATAAAATTTTACCCAGGCTTGGGCGTTTTAATATTTACACCCACTATTTCTAAAAGTCTTATGTAAATAAAGATTGAAATGTGAATTTGAAAAGTCACACCTCTTGATATTTGAACAGACTATAGCTGCATATATCTTCTTTTTCTAATAATATGGCTAGTTTCTCTCCTAAGCTTTTAAAATAATAAGACACTATTTTTGTATTCTAAAACATGAAAAGGTTCAGTGTTAAATAAAAAGCAAATAGTATTTTTAGAGAAGCCAGATCCCAGGGAGTAGTGCTTAACCATAAATCACCAATGGGCAGCAATTCCGAATTCCAGAAGACTTTATTATAGTCAGGCTCCACTCACAGAGGCATGCCCCTCCCACCGTGGTGCCTGCAGGTGACGCTCTGTGGCGCCCTGGGATCAGGGAGAAGCAGGGGCCGCCTTAGTGGTGGCTTGTGGGGATTTCCCAGCAGGCAGCTGGCACGTGGTTCAGCGTGGTTGGGGGTCTCCCTGATGAGCGCCCTCGCAGCTGGGCTGTGGTCCGTTTCTGACTGCAGGAGGTGCTCAGCTGATCCATCCGCTCCACTCCGGTCCCGTGTCGCCGCCTCGCGTGGTGCTGGGTTCCACGCTCCTGTCCCTGTGTTCCCCACATCCCCCAGACCTCTTCAGACCCGTGTCCCAGGGTGCACTTTGTCTGTTCTGTTTGAACCCCTCTCGCTCATTGTCACAGGGGTTGCTCTCAGGCATCCTGATGCGGTTTATTCCCGGGGTTACTGTCACCGTTCAGCTCGTGCTACACATTGCGTCCAGAAGCTTCTCCTCTCTGTGCCGAACTGCCCTGCTGGTGTCCAAGGGTGGTGGGACTCTGCGTTGTGGCGTTTGGTGGCCGCCCCAGCCCAGGGCCCGGTGGCTGGCGCCCTGCTGCTGTGCGCTGTCCTCCATTGTGTGTCCAGGGGCAGTGCAGAGACCCCTGTCCCCAGCACAGCTCCTCTCCTGGCCACGGCTTCAGCAGCCGGCTCCTTCCCCGGGCCAGCTGGTCTTGCTCGGCACAGGGGCCATGTGGCAGCTGAGAGTAATGTGGAAACCAGGCTGTTCTTTGGAAATTCAGACCAATTAAGTGAAATCTAATGAGGCTGCCCAGGGTCTCCGGAGTAATCAAAAGAAGATATAGGCAGAGAGGAGGGGGCTTGTAAGACAGAAAGGCTAGGGAGAGCGGGCTTAGGAGGTCTGTGGGGGATGGGGTGAGGTGCAGGAATCCAAGGTGGAGCCTCAGCCACCGGCCACCAACCACGAAGCCCCTGCTTTGTCCTGCAGGGCTCCCTGCCTCTGTCCCGCAGCTCTGAGCTGTGGAGGCCACGTTTCCCACACTCCTTTTTCTCTGGCCTCTGGGTAGAGTCGCCGGCAGGACCTGGGAGCTGAGCTGGGCTTGGGGAGAAGCCTGGGCATTTCTCCCTCTGCCCCTGCCTGCTGGGGCTCCCACGGAGCAGGCCCAGTGTGGTCCCACCCTTGTTGGGGGGCACCCGCTCCTAGCCCTGCGCTGGGGGCACCCACTCCGGGCCCTGCGCTGAGTGGCTGGTTGCCTCTCCCTGCCCTGTGTGGCCCTCATGTCTCCTCCTCCTCAGGTGTAGGTAAGTCCTGTGGTCAGTTCCCTCCCTATGAAATTGAAGTACATGGACTGGACCTGACCTGGCTGCTCAGCTGATAGATTCCCCTGGAATAAAAGCAGTCGCTCTGATAGACGCAGGCTTCCAGGGCTTTGCTGCCCACCCCAGGGCTCAGGGCTTTGGTCCAGGCAGCTCAGCGTGCAGGAGCTGGTGGAGCCAGTCCCAGCCGTCTGCCACTGGGGCACTGCTGCCATTGGCTTTTGAAGCTGCCCGTCACTGGTGCTCCTTGACTTCTGATCTATGGGTGGTTGGGTTTTACCACTCGGACTGCGGTGAATGCCACTGAAGCCGTATGCTCAGCTGCTGCTTGGTGCCCTGGAGCCCTGACTGCACCAGACGGGCTGTGTGCGCCAGCCGGGTCGCCAGCATATCAAGTTTTGCTTCATTTGCAGGCAGGTGCGAAGGACGTGGTCTTTTTTTAAAGATATATTTATTTATTTGAAAGAGTTATAAAGAGAGAGAGAGAGACTCCTCCATCTGCTGGTTCACTCCCCAGATAGCCATGACAGCTAGGGCTGGGCCAAACCCATGCCAGTGGGAGACTGGGAGGAAGCACCTGGCTCCTGGCCATTAGGGTAGCGGCCATTAGGGGGAATGAACCAACGGAAGGAAGACCTTTGTCTCTGTCTCTCACTATCTATAACTCTCTCTGTCTCTTGTCTAACTCTGTCTGGCAAAAAATTAAAAAAAAAATGCCAGGAGCCATGTGTCCCTGTGTCCCATGTGGGTGCAGGGCCCGAAGTACTTGGGCCGTCTTCTGCTGCTTTTCCCAGGCCATTAGCAGGGAGCTGGATGGGAAGCGGAGCAGCCAGGACGCAAACCTGCAACCATATGGGATACCAGCACCATAGGCAACAGCGCTACACACTACGCCACAACGCCGGCCCCAAGGACACAGTATTTTTTAATTAATTTATTTATTTGAAAGGCAGAGTTACAGAGAGGCAGAAGCAGAGAGAGAGGTCTTCCATCCACTGGTTCACTCCCCAGATTTCACTCCCCAGATGGCTGCAATGGCTGGAGCTGTGCTGATCTGAAGCCAGGAGCCAGGAGCTTCTTCTAGGTCTCCCAGTGGGTGCAGGGGTCCAAGCACTTGGGCCATCTTCTACTGCTTTCCCAGGCCATTAGCAGGGAGCTGGATTAGAAGTGGAGCAGCTGGGACTTGAACCGGCGCCCATATAGGATGCCAGCACTGCAGGCGGCTTTACCCACTGTGCCACAGTGCTGGCCCCAAGGGCACAGTCTTAAAAAGCCTCCACATTCTTACTCACTTTTTGATATTGAAGTCCAGTGTCTGACAGTGCTGTGCACATGTGTGTGTGCGTGCCAGCACGTGTGTGTGCACAGTGCTTGTTTGTGTGCATATGTGTGGTGAATGTGTACACACTCGTGTGCATATATGTATCTGGCATGAGTATATGCACACGTGTGTCTTGTAGATACTGTATGTGTGCGTGCATGTATGTGTATGGAGAGAGGCATGCAGTGTGGGGGTGGAAACAGCAGAGGAAGGAAGGTGTTTGATCCAAACCCATTGCTTTGGTTCACTTTTCCCTGTGGGGACAGAGGGAGGCGCCAAAGTATGATTATTCTGAGCCTACACGGTTTATCCCTAAATGCACGGCCTTGCCCAGCTGTGGCCGCTCCGTCTGCACAGCCCTAGATGACTGGGGACTGCTGCTTCCTACCTCTGCATCGTCTACAAATGCTGCCAGACCTGGTGGCCCTGCCTTCCGGGAGGGCCTGCAGGGAGATGCTGCCCACCTGGTACTTGGCGCAGGTCTTAGTGTCAAGGTCGGGACAGAGGCCAGCGATGACGATGGAGCGTTGCCACACAGTTGAGGAAGGTTTGTGTGCAGGGGTTCGCTGTTCGCATCCTGTTTTTAGCAACAGCTGGTTCTTACCAGTCCTTTCTTCTTACATTCCAAGAGTCAGAAGGCATCACAGTCGTGGAGGGTTCCCCGGGACTCCACTGGTCCTTGTGCAAGGACCAAAGTCCCCGGGACTCCACTGGTCCTTCTGCAAGGACCAAGGTCCCCGGGACTCCACTGGTCATTGTGCAGGGACCAAGGTCCCCGGGACTCCACTGGTCATTCTGCAAGGACCAAGGTCCCCGGGATTCCACTGGTCCTTCTGCAAGGACCAAGGTCCCCGGGACTCCATTGGTCATTGTGCAAGGACCAAGGTCCCCGGGATTCCACTGGTCATTGGGCAAGGACCAAGGTCCCCGGGATTCCACTGGTCATTCTGCAAGGACCAAGGTCCCCGGGACTCCACTGGTCATTCTGCAAGGACCAAGGTCCCCGGGACTCCACTAGTCCTTCTGCAAGGACCAACGTAGTCCAGGACTCCATTGGTCATTGTGCAAGGACCAAGGTCCCCCAGGACTCCACTGGTCATTCTGCAAGGACCAAGGTCCCCGGGACTCCACTGGTCCTTCTGCAAGGACCAAGGTCCCCGGGACTCCACTGGTCATTCTGCAAGGACCAAGGTCCCCGGGACTCCACTAGTCCTTCTGCAAGGACCAACGTAGTCCAGGACTCCACTGGTCATTCTGCAAGGACCTAGGTCCCCCAGGACTCCACTGGTCATTGTGAAAGGACCAAGGTCCCCCGGGGCTCCAGTGGTCATTCTGCAAGGACCAAGGTCCCCCAGGACTCCATTGGTCATTGTGCAAGGACCAAGGTCCCCCAGGACTCCACTGGTCCTTCTGCAAGGACCAAGGTCTCCCAGGATTCCACTGGTCATTCTGCAAGGACCAACGTTGTCCAGGACTCCACTGGTCATTGTGCAAAGACCAAGGTCCCTGGGACTCCACTGGTCCTTCTGCAAGGACCAGCTGTGCACCACACCTTTTCCCATAGGGTCCTCAGGGCTCCTGGGGTTCCCTGGCCTGGCCCGGCCCTGCTAGTGTACAGATGAGGAAAACCAGGCCCTCAGAGGTGAAGTTGCTGAGCTGCCGTGTGCGATGGTCAAAGGGGGCAGGGGCTCAAGCCTCACTGGAACCCTGTCCTCTTTCAGCCCTTCTGTCTAGTCAGCGTGTTTGCAGCCCACAGGCCAGCCGGACTCCCACTCCAGGCTCACCCGCTCTGAGAAGAGTGGCAGTGACGGGGTGGGTCTGTGTAGACCATGTTCCCAGAGACAATGAGAGGTCCTTGGCTAAGGCACATGGGCTGATGTGTTCGCACCCTGAAGGAATAGGCTGGCCCCTGGCAGAGTCTGTGTCAGTGTTGCCAAAGGGAGTCACAGAGTGGATGAGGTTAGTAGATCCTTGATCACGTTTTCAGATTTAGCTTCTGGTAGAGTCTGACCATAATTGTTTCCTCTGAAATGCACATACCAGGAAACTGCTGTTAGAAAGTTTCAGTGTGTTATTTAGGTCATTTCCAGGCCTGAAGGAGCTGAGGGGCTCCAGGTAACAAAGAAAATGCAGTGTAGCTCTCCTACAAACAGGTTAGACTGAGCGGATCAGAGCGGCCCCCTGCTGTGGACAGAGAGGCAGTGTCCGGGGTGAGAGGTAAACACACAGGTAACCACAGCGCAAGAGAAGGTGCAGACACGTGCTGCAGTGGCCGTCAGTGGGCCCTGGCTGTCCCAGGTTTTGTCCTACAGTGGGGCCAGAAAAATGTCCTGAGATAGAAGTGACTTTGGCCTAACAGAGGTGTGGGAGCTGGAATTTGAACCCTTGCATAAAGCTGTGCGCCCTGAAGATCTGACCGTACCCTACAAGGGGAATGGAAGTTAAAATGTGGGCTCCAAGCGTATCCTATGCCAGTGTACAGTCACAGCATTAACACAGAAGTAGACCCAGATGTCCGAGTGGTTCAGGTGCTGTAGGACTGCCTCCACCCTCAGTGCACACACGTCCGGAGGTCGAACACCCACTGAGGATGGGATGTAACAGATCCAGCACTTCAGAGGCAGCCCGCAGAATCCACGTTGCCACAAATCGGAGATGAAAGAGGCTGAAGTTCACTATGAAATATTTACAGTTTTCAAAAACAATAAAGAAATGGAGCCATAATAAAAGAAGGCAGTGTGAAACATAGAATTGGAAGGTAACAGAAAAACTGAAAGTGAATGATCTGGTCATTGAAATGTCTTTTAAAAAACAAACCATCAGATTAGACACAGTAAAGACTCAGTGAGTCGGGGCATAGATCTGGGAAGTCGTCCCAGACGGTGGGGGAGAAGAGGTGAGAAGTGTGCGTGTGTGGGCGAGAGCGTCAGAGGCGCAGGGGGTGACCCACTAGGAAATCCAGAGGGGAGGGTTTAGAGACTGCTAGAGAGGGACACTGAAGAACGTGACGGGAATGGAAGGAAGGCAGGCGTGGCCAGGTGGCAAAGTGGAGGAGGTCTCCAGTCAGAAACCAACGTACATCACAAGCTGTGCTGATCAAGGCCAAGTGGTGTTGACCCAGGGACAAATAGACCGATGAAATGGACTCTTGAAGCATGAATAGACGGCAGTTGAGAACAAGTTTCTCTGTACATTGTGCTAGGACAGTTGGCTAATCCGCATATGAGGAAAATAAAATTAGATTTCAACCTCATCTAAAGATCAGCTTTGGGCCTGGCGTGGTGGTGTGGCAGGTAAAACCGCCCCCTGTGACGCCAGCATCCTATTTAGGTGCTGCTGTGGATTCTGGCTGCTCCACTTCCAGCTTCCCTGCTGTTGCACCTGGGGAAGCAGCAGCAGGTGTGGCCCAAGTCCTTGGACCCCTGCACTCACGTGGGAGACCCCCAAGAAGCTCCTGGCTCCTGGCTTTGGTCTGATCCAGCCCTGGCCGCTGCGGCCACTTGGGGAGTGAATCAGTAGGTAGAAGATCAATCTCTAACTGTGCCTTTCAAATACATAAAATAAGTCTTCTTTAAAAATCCATTTCACGAGTAGGGGAGGGTTAAAGAATCTAAATGTTATACATTAGTAATACTGCTTTAGAAGGACTCCCATTCAAATGTTGTCTTCTGTCGATGAGTTAGTATTGATGCTTCAGTGTGTGTGTGTGTGTGTGTGTGTGTGTGTGTAGCACGTCTACTATTAATGATTTTTCTGGTTTTATCTGAGGATGTCTTAATTCCACTATCATTTTTGAAGTATAATTTTGTTGGATATAGAACTTCTGGTAGATTTTCTCCACCCCCCAGCACTTTGGTTATGTTATCTCATGGCGTTTTGATTTCCATGATTTCTGATGAGAAGTCAGCTGCTTTCAGTATTTGGTTTCAGATAACCCTACCTACGACACGTCTAGTGTCGATCTCAGATAACCCTACCTACGACGCGTCTAGTGTCGATCTCAGATAACCCTGCCTACGACGTGTCTGGTGTCGATCTCAGATAACCCTGCCTACGACGTGTCTGGTGTCGGTCTCTTGGCTTATCCTGGTTGGAGTTGCTTGAGCTTCTTGATTGTATAGATTGTTTTTTATCAAACATGGGAAGACTTTTGGCCATTATTTCTCCAAGTATTTTTACATGTTTTCAGCCTCCTTTTCCTCTGAGACACCTGTTTGTGTGCATATTGATACAACTGAATATAGTGTCCCATAGCTCTCTGAGGTACTGTAAATTTTTTTCACTCTTTTTTCTCTTGTTCTTCAAACTAGATAATCTCATTGACTTCAGATTCACTCTACCTTTCTTCTCCTGCTTAAATCTGCTGTTGAGCCACGTTCATAAATTTTTCATTTTAGTTGCTATACCTCTTAACTCTAGAATTTCTGTTTACACACACACACACACACACACATATATATACAAAATTTGTCTTTTGTTATTTTCTATTTAGTGAGATAATTTTTAGTTGGTCTACATTTTTTTTAAAAAATATTTATTTATTTATTTAAAAGGCAGAGTTATGGAGAGGCAGAAGAAGAGACAGAGAGAGAGGTCTTCCATCTGCTAGTTCACTCCCCAGATGGCCTCAACAGCCGGAGCTGGGCCCATCCAAAGCCAGGAACCTGGAGCTTCTTCCAGGTCTCCCACATGGGTTCAGGGGCCCAAGCACTTGGGCCATCTTCTGCTGCTTTCCCAGGCAGGGAGCTGGATTGGAGGTGGAGCAGCCGGGATTCGAACCGGCACCCAGATGGGATGTTGGGACTGTAAGCAGTGGCTTTACCTGCTGCACTACTGCGCCAGCCCCAGCCCACATTCTTTTTAAAGTGTTTTTATTTTTCTTTATTTGGGGGGGGGGGGATGAAAGAAGGTGGCAGGGAGAGAGAGAGGTTGTCCATCTGCTGATACTTTTCCCAAATGCCCACAACAGCCAGGGCTGGGCCAGGCTGAAACCAGGAGTTAGCCATTCAATCCAGGTCTGTTGCGTGGTTGGCAGGAACCCAACTACTCGAGCCATCACCTGTTGCCTCCCAGGGTGCAGGTGATCAACCAGCTGGAATTGGCAGCTTAAGCCCAGACACACTCATGTGGGACGCAGGCCTCCTGCATGGCGGCTTGAGCGCCGCAGACGCCTGCCCCTGCGACGGTGTGGTCCTCCTACCTTCCTTGGATTCCTGATCGTGTTTTTCCTGGGCCCTTTGAACGGATTCAGGTTCCGTGATTCAGTCCTCGTCGAAGAACTGCAGCATCCAGGCTCTGCCTTCAGTCTGCTCCGCAGGTCCACTGCCCATCTCTGCACTCTGCCCAGCAGCCGGCCCGTGTGGGCCACACGAGTGGGCGTCTGGCTCTCAGACTTCCTTTGGGTCCAGCCACTCGGGGACGTGGGGCAGGCAGCAGACTGGACAGAGGTTGGAGAGGGAGGGCAGGGGACTTGGCTGTGTCCCTTGGCCAATGTCCCTGCTCCTTTCTGGCAGCCAGCAACACATAACACAGAGCACATTCTCCTCCAGCTTCTGACAGCTGCTTGACCTTGACTGAGTGTGCAGCTCCCTTCTGAATCCTGTTCACAAATCCCATCTGTTTCCTGTTGGGCCCCTAAGGAAGGATTCACACCCACCTTAGAGCAGTATGATTACTCCAGCGAGGGAGGAGGAGGAGGCAACAGTGTATCTTAAATCTGCACCAGGTGTGCATAGGTGTCACACGGCTGCCTCTTCCTACAAAGACTGGGGCGGGTGAAATGGGGGGGGGGGGGTCTGTAAGCCCAAGCACGCAGTGTAGGCCGCAGGAGAAGCCTGTGAAGAAAGGACACCACTGTGTAGCTGTACAGGTGAATTTGCTGTTAGAGAAAGCAAGCGCTTCCTCACGGAATCGGCAGAGGCAGGAATTCCAGAGCTCTCCGACGCGGAGCGGCTGCTGGTACTCGTCGCACGGTTCCTCAGGGAAGGGCAGAGGGCCGGCCACAAGCCAGGCTTCTGCGCGTGGACGAAGGGTGGCTTTTTCAAAAAGGGACAAGGGGGTGTCGCAAAGTGCTTTCCCTCGGCACGTGTGACTTGAATTCTAACAGACCTGCCACAGAGCGGGTGTGGCCCTGCCGGCCTGGTAGCAGAGCCCAGGGAGGAAGGATCTGCCCTGCGAGGTAGAGTTGGACAGCCGGAAGCTCGTGGGCTGTGGGAGCACCCCGTGAGGGGTCACCGCGGTGAGAGCGTCAAGAGCCCTGTTGAGGCTGAAGTGTGAAGGCAGGTGCCCCGCCAGGAACACAGCCAGAAGCAGCCCACCCGGAGCCCCCAGTATCCCCTCAGAAGCAGTGGACGCTTCCTCTCCAAAAGCCTGTCTTGCTCTGTGGGAAAGTATTGGAATCATGTTTTACCAAAAGTAGTATGTTTGTCACTATAGCTTTTTGGGTCACTTTGGAAGCCTAAGCAAACAGGAAGCAGAGGACCCTAATTGTCCACAGGAAGACATCAGCTGCCACGAGTCCTCACTCCTGGCTGTGTCAGTGACCGGCTCCATGCCCAGCAGTCCTCAGCAGATACGCCCTGCAGCTTGTGTGTGTCAGCTCAGAGCCCAGGACACCCGGCATCTGTGTCCTCCCCGTGTCCTGGTCAGGAACAGCACCAGGCTCGCGTGTGGGCTTCCTGCTCTGAGACAGTCCCCAGCTGGAATGTTCCAGAAAAGTGAGTCGGTGGCAGGCCCTGAGAACTTTCCCGAGACTGGAGCACTGGGGCAAAGGTCAGGAGGAGCAATGTCCGCAGGTTCTCCAGGTCTAAGATTCTAGATCTCGACTGTCTTGTCGATGGGCTCTGTCTGTCTGGTCCCAAGTGGTGGTGGTGGTGGTGTTTTTTAAGATTTTATTTGTTTGAAAGGCAGAGTGACGGAGAGAGACAGAGAGGTCTTGCCTCTGCTGGCTCACTCCCCAAATGGCTGCAGTGGCCAGGGCTGCCCCAGGCCCAAGCCAAGAGCCTGGAACCCCTTCTGGGTCTCCCACGGGGGTGGCATGCTCAGGTCCTCGGGTCGTTTTCCACTGCTTTCCCAGGCACATTTGCAACAGCTTGATGGGAAGTGGAGCAGCCAGGACTCAAGCCCACACTTTGATATGGGATGCTGGTGTCACAGGCGGTGGCTTAGCCTGCTGCGTCCCCGTATGGTCCCTGTGCTGTCCCAACCCTTTCCCGTTCCACCTCCAGCATGTCTTCGGATGCCACCCTCTGGGGCAGGGCAGGGAGGGGCACCTCAGCGAGTACCTCGCCCACAAGCCTCGTTCTGTGTTGAGCGTGTGATGGGCATGAGGATGATGGAGTTACTTGCCGAGCACTGTCTCCTCGCCCGATCGCTCCGTCTCTCCCCTAAGTGAGGCCCTTGTCCCCTGACCCCACCTGCACTGCTCACCTCTGTGCCTTCCTGAGCTTGTGACCTTGCCCTGCCCGGTGCCGTTCCCAGAGCTGCAGTTCCCGCTGGGCTCCAGCTACCGAGGGTCTCACGACAGAAGCGTCTCCTGGCCCGTGGCATTCAGCAAAGGCACCTCCTCTCCCCACCGTTCAGAGACTTGAGCATTCGATGATTCAGGATTTGGGAAATGAGCCCGGAAACCAGTTACCCGGGGTCCTTTGGTAAAGGGATGAATACCTGTTGACTGGGTACTGCTGAGGCTCTTCCGGGAAGCACGGGCCTGTGGAATAAGCCCAGCGTCTTTATTCAGCGTGGAGTTCAGGGCCCTGCACAGTCTTGGTGCCGCCTGGCATTCCAGACGGATCTCCCACGCCTGCGTGTGCTCCTGGAACCCCTGGCTCCCCTCGTGGAGAGCGTCTCCTGTTCTGGGAACTTCTGACCTCATGCTGTTCTAAGTGCCTGGGATGCCCCTTCCACCTCACAAGATTCTCTGACACCTCTGGGGGCCTGGTGCAGCCTTCGCAGCCCCTCGTCAGGTGGGATCAGGTGCCCCTTCCCTGGCTCGCATGGCGTCTGGTTCTCAGCACCTGGCTGAGGCGTGCGTGTGACCTCCACGAGGCTCTGAGTCTCCCTAACCTCTCCATGGCTTGGGGCAGCACCGCCTTCCTGGAAACAGGTGCCATCGTGCGCCGGACCACTTTGTACCCCCGGTCACCTGCCCACCCCAGACTTCCTGGGCCTCAGCCAGCGCAGCCACCACGCGAGTCCTGGCAGGGCAGGGAGGCCGAGCCTGCCCCTGCTCTCAGGCCAGGGACACTGCTGGCGCCACGTGTGGCCCAGTGTGCGTCTGGCCAGCTGTCCATCCTTCCCCAGCATGCGGTTCTTCCAGTCATGGCTGTGGGGAGGAGAGATGAGGTGGGGGCGGAAGGGCTCTGGGGGGAGGGTTTATGATTCTGCACTTTTCTATGCCCCTCGGGACAAGCCCAGTACCTGACTCATATATTGAGTCCTCGTTCAGTACTTAGACGTCATGTAAACTTTTTTATTAGTGTTGGATGTTTAGTCTGGTGGTTAAGATGCCTGTGTCTCACACCAGAGTGTCTGGTGCAATTCTTGGTGCCAGCTCCTGACTCCAGCTCCAGGCAAATGCAGACCCTGGGAGGCAGTGCTGATGGCTCAAGAAATAAGGTTCCTTCCACTCCCCAGGGGAGACGTGGACTGTATCCCCAGTTCCTGGCTCTAGCCTTGCCTCAGCCCTGGCTGTTGTGAGCAATTGGGGAGTAAACCAGAGGATGGGGGAGCTCTCTAAAGTAAAATAAGCATTTTTTTAAAAAATTATAAATATGTAAATGATATTTTCATTCTCTTTTTTTCCCTGGTAGTGCTGTAGGAGAGAAAGGAAGTAATGCCGGCTGGGGCCTTTTTGGGAATCAGGCACCGTCGGGTGCTGCAGATCCCTAGTGGGAAAGCTCACGGAAGGGGGTGTGGGGAAGAAGCTGCAGGGCTTCGGAACTGTCTGCACCCAAATGGACTTCCCTTTAGTTCACTCTCCACAGCTTCGTGAAGTGCCTTCATGTTTAAGATGCACTTTAATATGAGTATTCATAAACATTCTCCCTTCAGAAGTTAAAACGTCATCTGGGTCTCCCGGTCACGTCAGTGAGCGCTCTGTGTGGGGCACAGCGAGGCCTGCTGCTTCGGCCAAAGTAGGTTAATGCGCACATGGTGCTGTTTTGTCACCGCAGGGGCATTTCAGTCATTCCGGGAGTCCCTAGAAGATGAAGCTGGGAAAGGAAGCCTCCAGCTGGGCTCCGACTCCTCCCCGCGGCAGCAGGTGCTGGGCTCCGGCGGATGGGCTTTGCTTGGGCACCCACCTGTTTGAACAGCAGCCCAGGGCTCGCTGCCCGGGACCCACCGTCCTCGCGTGGGAGCCTGGAGGCCCCACGTCCCTTCCACAGAGCCTCCTCTGAGTGTGTCCTGCCGGAGAGGGAGAGCAAGCGTATCATCTAAAAGTAAAACGCAGTCTGCGTCAAACTTCCGTGCGGCTTGGGGACCCGTGGCTCCTGCGGTCGTGTCCGGCTGGGGACCCGTGGCTCCTGCGGTCGTGTCCGGCTGGGGACCCGTGGCTCCTGCGGTCGTGTCCAGCTGGGGACCCGTGCCTCCTGCGGTCGTGTCCGGCTGGGGACCCGTGGCTCCTGCGGTCGTGTCCAGCTGGGGACCCGTGCCTCCTGCGGTCGTGTGCGGCTGGGGACCCGTGGCTCCTGCGGTCGTGTCCGGCTGGGGACCCGTGGCTCCTGCGGTCGTGTGCGGCTGGGGACCCGTGGCTCCTGCGGTCGTGTGCGGCTGGGGACCCGTGGCTCCTGCGGTCGTGTGCGGCTGGGGACCCGTGCCTCCTGCGGTCGTGTGCGGCTGGGGACCCGTGGCTCCTGCGGTCGTGTCCGGCTGGGGACCCGTGGCTCCTGCGGTCGTGTCCAGCTGGGGACCCGTGGCTCCTGCGGTCGTGTCCACTGCAGCCCTGCTTTGATGCTTTCCAGTTGTTTTGTGGATGTATCCAGGACTGCCAATATACTCTTTTTAATTAAAAGATTTATTTTTATAATTGAAAGGCTCTATAATCTTGAAGTGAATTTTGCTAAATGCTACGAGCCCATCTGTTCCGTGTAATTCTCTAACTGAAGTGATTGGACAGCACCTCTTTTATATTAAAATGGAGATTGCTTGTTTTCTCTTGGGTTTTCAGTGTCTCGTCTGCCCGTGGAGACTGGAGTAGCTGGCCTGGGTTTCCAAGCTTCCTGATACCCTGTTCACGTGACAGACGGGTCCTGAGGGAACCGCCGAAGTGCAGACTCGAGCTCCAGTTCCTAACCTGCTGGAGCCCGGGAGGGCCTAGCCCTTGGATGCCACGTGTTCTCGTCACATTACTCACCGGGGGGTGCGTTCCCCGCCAGGGACCTCCTCCCCATTGGCGTTTGGAAAAGCCCCGTCCATAAGCAATGCTGGCGTTCAGTCTGGGAGCACTGCCTGTTGGGAGGTGGAGGAAGAGGGAGGTGAGACATGGCCGTGCCATCATAGGAGCGTTGTCTGTTGGGAGGTGGCAGGGAGGAAGGAGAGGCATTGGCAAGAGGCCTCAGGGACACTGCTGTTGGGAGGCGGAGGGGAGGGAGGGGAGACATTCCAGGTCACGCTCCAGCACCGTGTTGGTGACGTGGACGCTAGCCTGGAGGAAGACCCCGGAGCTGGGACTTCATGAGAGGTGCCAGTCCCTGCCCAGTCGGGGCTGTGAGACAGGAGGTGTCAGGAGTGTGGCCTTGGAAGTCTGTGAAGAGCTCCGTTTGTGCTGTCTTCTAAACAAGAGGCACACTTTGATGTTTATGGAAAAGAAAACTTTGAGGTCTGCGTTTTCTTGCTGTGTCAACTCCTCCTCGTCTGAAATCTGTGGGGAGAGCTCTGTGCAGAGAGCAGTGCCTTTGGGTAGGGAGCGGCCTCCCGTGGCCTCCCGTTCCCCTCTCGGCCCCGGAACATCTCGCCATGGACCTCGCTGAGTCCTGAGGCTTCTCTGAGCCTCCTCCGCCCGCTGGGTCTGTGCATGGAGGGGAGCCTGCAGGGCTGCAGGCGGTGGCAGACGAGGGGCCCACGACGACGCCACCCCAGCATCAGCCCCGCTGCCCGCTGCCCTCCAGATCCAGAGCAGGCCTCCTCTTCTGAAAAAACAAAGTCACGAAAGACACAGCAGTGTGGAAACGCAGAAGGCGCGCGGGGCCGGGATGAGCCCAAGGTCTCGGCCCGCGAAGGCCTCGAGTGCTGAGATCATGGAGGTGACGCTGGGTCCCAGCCGCGGGGCACCCGAGGGTGTGGCCAGTGTGTCCTCAGGATCCCTGGCTGTAGTAGAAGCCATCAAATAGGACATTCTGGAACCCTACACCCATGCTCGGCTCCCCTGGACTTTGGACACAGCTCAGAGCCCATCCCAGTGTGGTCCCTGGCCCAGGCAGGGGTCCCTCTGTGGCCGTGCTGTCCAGGCATTGTGTCCTCCTCCCACCCTGCCCGATGGCTGTCACACAGTGTTCCACCTTGGAACGGACCATGCTTCCTGACGCAGCCGTGGGGCGGCCCTCAGAGTAGCTGTTTGTGAAGCGTGCAGGTGGATACAGAGCAGGCTCTGCCTCTGGGACTGCAGTGCGGGCGCCATGTCCCGCTCGTCCCAGGGCCCAGGTCCTCCCCTCACACACAGCTCTGTCCCTGCCAGGTTAATTTGTCCGCACCACAGGTGCTAAAGCAGCCGAGCGAACAGGCAGGACCTGCGGGTGTCCCTGAGTGGGCTCAGCGCACCCCACCAGGAGCGTGAAATGGGATTATCCCCTTCAAGTGCTTCTCTTTGTCTTCTTGTCAGAATAGGGGAGAAAGATGTCTTCTATGCCTGAGGAAACAGGAGGCATTTAGTGTGTGCATCTCCACTAGATAAGTTTTCTGTTTGTTCTTTAATTATAATCTCTCATTATTTGTTTTTTTGCTCAGGGTTGAAACTGTCAAAGCCTACTTTAATAATTTCACAGTTTGAGTTTATGGTGGTTTTTAAACCACAGAAACAAAAACTCTCAGAAGATTCAAAAGCATTGTAAATAGTTAACAAAGATACCTTAACATCTTTTGAAATGTTTTGCCTTTTTATAAAGATTTATTTATTTACCTGAGAGACAGAGATATGGACAGAGAGAGGGAGAGAGAGAGAGAGAGAGAGAGAGAGAGAGAGAGAGAGAGAGAGAGAGAGAGAGAGAGAGAGAGAAAGGTCTTCTATTCACTGGTTCCCTCCTCCAGTGGCTGCAACGGCCAGAGCTGGGCAGATCTGAAGCCAGGAGCTTCTTCTGGGTCTCCCACATGGGTGCGGGGGCCCAAGCACTTGGGCCATCTCTTTCTTTCTTTCTTTCTTTCTTTCTGTCTGTCTTTCTGTCTTTCTGTCTTTCTTTCTTTCTTTCTTTCTTTCTTTCTTTCTTTCTTTCACAGGAAGAATTAGACAGTGAGACAGAGAGAAAGGGCTTCCTTCCATTGGTTCCTCCCCCAAATGGCCGTTATGGCCAGCGCGCTGCGCCCGTCTGAAGCCAGGAGCCAGGCACTAGGCTCCTCTTGGTCTCCCATGCAGGTGCAGGGCCCAAGCACTTGGGCCATCCTCAATTGCCTTCCCGGGCCACAACAGAGAGCTGGACTGGAAGAGGAGCAACTGGGACAGAATCCGGTGCCCCAACCGGGAGTAGAAACTGGGGTGCCGGTGCCACAGGCGGAGGATTAGCCAAGTGAGCTGCGGTGCTGGCCCACTTGGGCCATCTTATACTGTTTTCCCAGGCCATCAGCAGGGAGCTGGATTGGAAGTGGAACAACAGGAACTCAAACCAGCACCCACATAGGATGCTGGTACCACAGGCGGATGCTTAACTTCCTACTTCACAGTGCCAGGCCCTGAAATGTTTTGCCTTTAAAAGTACAGTTTTGGGGAATAAGTGTTTGGGACATTCCCATCCCATGCTGGAGGGCCTGGGTTGAAATCCTGGTTCCGGTCCCTGTTTCACCTTCCTGCTGATGCTCACCCAGAGAGGCAGCAGGTGATGGCTCAAGTACCTGGGTCCCTGCCACCCACGTGGGAGACTGGGATGGATTCCTGGCCCAGCCCTGGCTATTGTGGGCATTTGGGGAATGAGATTCTCTGTCTGGCTCGCTCTCTCACTCTATCTCAGCTTAGGGGCAGGGGTTCAGTGCAGACACTGGTTCAGATGTCCTTACCATATTGGAGTACTGAGCCCTGGCTTCTGACTCCAGTGCCTAGTGCCTGTAATGGGCACCCTTGCAGGCAGCAATGAACTCTCCAGGACGTGGGTTTTTCTGCCCTGCGGAAGATCGGCATTGAGTCCCTGGCTCCTGGCTTCAACCTGGCCCATTCCGGGCTGTTACAGGCATTTGGTAAATCAGCGGACAGGAACCCGCTGTCTACCTGCCTCTTTCTGTCTCTGCCTCTCAGATAAGTATGTAAAAATTAAATACACATATAGTTTATTTCCATATTTACTTTTAAAACATTAAAGAATTATACCTGACACCCTACTTATTAAAGAAGAAAATGTTTAAAATAAATAAGTAAAAAATAAAAATTACTCTACAGTCCCATTACTTAAAAGTAACTTATGTTAACATTTTTATGTGTATCTTAGAAAAATTACCACCTATGAACATACATACTCATAGACATACACTTCCAGTGTTAACAGCGTGCACAACTTGCATGCCAATGAAAAGATACCAGGTTACCATTTGTAAACGGTTATACGGGATTGCATCCACTGGGAATGCCACAGTGCTTCTCTTCCTAGTGAGTGTTATAAAGAAAGTTTTTATTTAATAAATGCTGATTTCATAGGTACAGCTTTAGGAATGTAGCAGTTCTTCCTTCCATACCTGTCCTCCCACTCCCACTGCCACTCCCATCCCACCTCCTACTCCCTCTCCCATCCTATTCTTCATTCAGTTTCATTTTTAATTGTCTTTATATACAGAAAACCAACTCTGTACTAAGTAAATATTTCAATAGTTTGCACTCACACAGACACACAAAGTATAAAGTACTGTTTGAAGACTAGCTTGACCGTTAATTCTCATAGTACAACACATTAAGGACAGAGGTCCTACGTGGGGAGTGAGTGCACAGTGACTCTTGTTGATTTAACAATTGACACTCTTATTTATGATGTTAGTGATCACCCAAGGCTCTTGTCATGAGCTGCCAAGGCTATGGAAGCCTTTTGAGTCCACAAACTCTGTCAGTATTTAGGGCCATAAGCAAAGTGGAAGTTCTCTCCTCCATTCAGAGAAAGGTACCTCCTTCTTTGGTGGCCCATTCTTTCCACTGGGATCTCAACTCACAGAGACCCTTCATGTAGATCATTTTTTTGCCATTGTGTCTTGGTTTTCCATGCCTGAAATGCTCTCATGGGCTTTTCAGCCAGATCTGAATGTCTTAAGGGCTGATTCTTAGGTCAGAGTGCTGTTTGGGGCATTTGTCTTTCTATGAGTCTGCTGTGTGGCCTGCTTCCGATGTGGGATCCTTCTCTCCTTTTTAATTATATCTATTGTTATTACCAGACACTTGGTCTTATTTATGTGATCCCTTTGACACTTATTCCTATCTGTGTGATCAGTTGCATACTTAAAATGATCACTTTAACGTGTAAGATGGCATGTACCACGCAGCTTAGTGGGATCCTCCTACTGTTATCTGTGAGTCTATCACCTATCGATCACCTCTTTCCTTCTTCCTGCCTACCTATTTATTTGCCCAAACAAAAATTGCTATATAACCATTCTTGCACTCATTGTTGTGCAGTTTTTTAGTTATGGTCATAAGGGTACATTCTAGATGTTGAATTTCTGAGTCAGAAGGTTTTTTGCTCTTTGGAACGGTGGTACCAAGAACCCAGGTTTCTTCCTCTTCAACAACACTAGGCAGGATACGTGTGTGTGTGTGTGTGTGTGTGTGTGTGTCCCACCTTGGAGCATTTTTGCACACACACACAAAAGAAGGGAAAACACACAGTCCAGCATCCCTTTAGCGCCTGTCCAGCTCCAGCACCTCTGCTTTAGCTCTGTCCCCACCTGCTCCGCTTCCTCCCTCCCCCTGCAAGCCCTGTGTGGGAAGCAAATATCACATTGTTTCATTGGTAATTATTTCAGTGTGTCTCTCCCACAGAGGCATTTAGAAAGCTAACCACACTGTGATCACCGCTCCTGGTGCAACATTTACAGTCATCCCTGAGATCCTGAAACATCCAGCCTTTGATCAGACGTGTGCGTGCTTCCTTGGTTCACAAGTGATTGTCCTGTTTTGCTTTGTGCAGCTGCTTTTGAATTGGAATTCCAGTGAGGTCCACGTCTGTCAGCCAAGGGCTTCCCGTCCATCTCTCTGTCCAGTGAGGTCCACGTCTGCAGGTCAAGGGCTTCCCGTCCATCTCTCCATCCAGTGAGGTCCACGTCTGTCAGCCAAGGGCTTTCCATCCATCTCTCTGTCCAGTGAGGTCCACGTCTGTAGGTCAAGGGCTTTCCATCCATCTCTCTGTCCAGTGAGGTCCACGTCTGCAGGTCAAGGGCTTCCCGTCCATCTCTCCGTCCAGTGAGGTCCACGTCTGCAGGTCAAGGGCTTCCCGTCCATCTCTCCATCCAGTGAGGTCCACGTCTGTAGGTCAAGGGCTTTCCATCCATCTCTCTGTCCAGTGAGGTCCACGTCTGCAGGTCAAGGGCTTCCCTGGCCTCTGGGTTTCCCACCGTTGACACAGAAGCTTGAGCAGTCAGGATTCAATTTTGACTTTTTGTGAGTCTTCCTCTCAATCCTTGCCAGTCTGACCTTGGCTGCGGTTTTTGTCATCTGCATGCTACGCGTTACGTTTCTGGTATCCCTGCCTGCCCCGTATGTCTGCTTTTGTGAACCTCCCATCCTTGCCTGCTATTTTCCGGGGGATGTATGTCTTTTCATTGTTTTTTATTTTATTTTATTTTACTTTATTTATTTGAAAGGCACAATGACAGAGCTCTCATTGTTGGTCCATGCCCCAGATGCCTGCAGTGCTGGGGCGGGGCCACGCTGACTCCAACCGCTAGTTTACTCCCTAGATGGCTGCAACAGCCAGAGCTGGGCCAGGCTGAAGACAGGGGCCGGGAGCTTCTTCCAGGTCTCCCAGGCAGGTACAGGCCCCAACCCCAAGCACTAGGGCCATCTTCCTCTGCTTTCCCAAGTGTATTAGCAGGGAGCTGGATTGGAATCGGAGAAGCCAGGTCTTGGAACTGGCGCCCATATGGATGCTGGCCTCGCAGGCGGAGGCCAGGCGGAGGCTTCACCCCTAGTGCCGCAACGCCGGCCCCTCCTGGCTCTTCTTCTTTTTTTTTTTTTTTAAGTTAATTTCTTTTTTTTTTTTTAATGTCAGAGTTAGAGAGAGACAGAGACAGAGAAAAAGGTCTTCCTTCCGTTGGTTCACCCCCCAAATGGCCACTACGGCTGGCGCTGTGCCGATCCGAAGCCAGGAGCCAGATGATTCCTCCTGGTCTCCCATACGGGTGCAGGGACCAAGTACTTGGGCCATCCTCCACTGCACTCCCTGGCCACAGCAGAGAGCTGGACTGGAAGAGGGGCAACCGGGACAGAATCCGGCGCCCCGACCGGGACTAGAACCTGGGGTGCCGGCGCCATAGGCGGAGGATTAGCCAAGTGAGCCACAGCACCGGCCCCCTCCTGGCTCTTCTTACTACTTTGTTCTTCCAGATCATTGAGTCAGATTTCAAAAGTAAAAGCCAAATAAAATATTGGTTGGATTTGTTGTGCATTTATTGATCTGTTGTGGGACAAGAAGGGAGTAGCTTTGCAATCCCGAGACTGAGCACTTGGGAGACTTTTCCCGGTTTGTCAGTATAGGTCCTGTGGCATCTTTCTCGCTTGTAACCACGGTGCCAGGTGACTTCCTACAGTTGCTGTTTACCATTGCCTAGTGCATGATCTTAGCAACATGGCCCACAGACAGGATCACATGAACCCTCAGTCCCCAGGGAGCAGAATTAGCGGTCAAGCGGTCAGGCCCTGGAGGCCAGCCCACCCAGCCTCTCCTACTGCAGCCTTTGCCTCCTCAGCCCCGTGGGCCTGGGACCACGTGGGTCACGGGGTGGGGGAGGGGAAGCAGGGGCTGGTTACAGTGCGACTCCTGAAGTCTGGGGCAGGGCCAGGCCTCTGCATTCCCAGTGAGCCTCCAGGAGATGCCCACACTCTGGCGCTGGTGCAGAGCACACTGTGGGAATCGTTTGAGGTTCAGTAAGAAGCCGCTGTGTGGCGGTGGGCCAGGCCCTGGTTCTCCGCTGGAAGCATCCTGCTCTCTGGAAGAACTTGGACAGTTTTCCGTGCCAGCCCAGAAAGCACCTCAGCTTGGCCTCCACCTGCCGAGGCGTGGATGGCTGGAGGCTGACGGGCCTGGGCTCAGCAGCCCTCTGCTCTGTGACCCCAAATGAGAACGGTAGTGCCTGTGTCACAGCTCGCTGTGGGAGTCTGGATAGAACAACGCGTTTGACATGTGGAGTGGCTGCACATGCCCAGGGCTGCAAAACCCATCCAGTCCAGGGCCCAGGGCCAGGAGCTGGAGCCAGGCCTCTCAGCCGTCCATGCAGAGGCGCCTTTGCCATCCCAGCCTCCTCTCGACCTGCTGCCTCCAGCTCGCAGCTGGGGTTCTTGATCCCTTGGACATCAAAGGACCCTCAGGAGCTGCCAGCCCATCGGGTGCCCTCCAGGCCTACCTGGTGAAGATTTCTTGGCTGCTGGTGTCAGGTGCTCCCTGTTCTGGCTTTGCAGCCTGGCAGGGAGACTGGGCTGTCCTGGTGCAAACGTGGAAGGCCGCGGAGGGGGCAGTGGGAGCAGACTCGGTTGGGGGAGGTGAGAAGGTTCTGAAGTGGGTTGGCAGGGCCCCTGCACAGCAGTGCGAATGAACTTTATGCCACTAAGCTACAGTCATACACAAATGATTAACGTAAGTGTCATAGATACTTTGTCACAAGAAAATAAGCTTTTTATTTGACAGGCAGAGGAACAGAAAGAAACAGAGAGACAGAGTTTTCATCCCCTGGTTCACCCCGCAGACGCCCACCGTGGCTGGGGCTGGGCTAGGCTGGCCCATTCCAAGGCTGGGAGCAGGAACTTAATCTCTCACATGGATGGCAGGGCCCCACTTATTTGAGTCATTGCCACCGCCACCCAGGCCTGCGTCACAGGAAGCTGGGCCTGGGAGCCAGAGCCGGACTGTGACCCAGGCACTCTGATGTGGGGCGCAGGTACCTTCACCAGTTGGCCAAACGCCAACCCCTAAAGTAAATTTTTATTTTCATTTATTTGAAAGGCAGAGAGAGAGGGAGCTAGAGACAAGAGACAGAGATCTCCCCGCTTCTGGTTCACTCCAGAAATGCCTGCAACTGCCAGGGCCAAGCCAGCTGGAGCCAGGACGCGCCCCTCCGTCGAGGCCCCCAGGCGGCTGGCAGGGACTCAGGTGTGTCGGCCATCGCCTGCCGCCTCCTGGGTGCACACTAGCAGGAAGCTGGAGTGGAAGTGGAGGAGCTGGGACTCAAACCGGATACTCTGGTGCAAGGTTCAGGAGTCCTAAACGGCGTCCTGACTGCTGTGTCAAGTGCCTGTCCCAGAATTTAAACGGGCAGGGGGAGAACTGTCCCCTCATCGTCTCCTCTCACTCCTCACTGACCGTGGCCCGTCCGGGTACAGATTCTCAGCCCGTGCTCCCCACAGGGCGGCTGTCACCACGGAGCCGTGCGCAGGCCCGGGGCTCTCCCTCACCTGCTCTGGAGGCGTTCACGCTTCTTTTTTATATTAGCAGTGACTTGCACATTCTCTTCTAAAATTATTTCTTTGAAAGGCACAGAGACAGTCGTAGAGATCTCCCATCCACAGGTTCACTCCCCGGATGCCCACAAGAGCGGGGGCTGGGCCAGACTGCAGCCAGGAGCCTGGAGCTCTGGGCTCCAGCGTGGGTGGCAGGAAGCCAACTCTGCAGCGCCGCTGCCGCCCAGGTGCTGCTTAGCAGGAAGCTGGAGTCAGAGCGGAGCCAGGACTCAAACCCAGGCACTCGCACGGGAGAGCCGGCGTCCCGAGCAGTCTCGGTTGCGCCTGCTACTCCCACGTCCGGTCTTCCCGTGCAGCTGTCTCCTGATGCTGCCGCCTGGTGGGGAGCTCACTCCCCTGGAACCAGAGCGGCCGGCGCACGCGGGGCCGGCACCTACACGCGTGCTGCACCCAGCGAGTGCTGTGCCCAGCTCCGCGGCACCAGATCTCTGTTCTGACGTCTGAGTTTACGCCTGTGAAAATCATCACACGAAAGCAAATCAAATCACGTTTGATCTCTTAAACTGCCTTGATTAAAGAGAATAAAATTATTTTAAAAAGACACAGCCGTCAGCCACCCGTGGACCCGTCAGCTAACGTGGCCTTTGTGGCTGCTCCTCTGTGAGGCCCAGGTGCTTGTGTTTCAGGAGAGCTAAGTCAGTGACGATCCGAATTTCTTAATCTTTTCAAATGTTCTTGACCAGCCTCTTAATAATTAATTGGAATTTGCGGAAGAAATCTCACCTCAGGGAGCACAAATGACTTTGCCAATTCCTGAAATTCGTTGACGATCAAAAACGACCTGTAGCCACGGGCGTGTCTTCTTTGGAGAACGGAAACTCAGTCCCTTAGCCTGCTCCTAATCGGGTTATTTCTCTTCTGCTGATGGACCGTGAGTTCCTGAGGTGTTTCAGGAGTTAGCCCTCTGTCAGGTGTGGTGTACAAGTGTGATTCCCCGCTCCCTCCTCGTCCATCGGCTGGTTCACTCCCCAGAAGTCCAGAGCTGGGCCGATCCAAAGTCAGAAGCCAGGAGTTTCCTCTGGGTCTCCCACACAGGTGCAGGGGCCCAAGGACTCGGGCCACCCTCTGCTGTTTTCCTAGGTGCGTTAGTGGGGAGCTGGATCAAAAGTGGAGCAGTTGGGACTGGAACCGGCGCCCCTCGTGGGATGCCTGCGCCATGGAGGCGGCTTGACCTGCTGCACCACAACACCGGCCGCTGTGATACGTTCTGAAATCAGGAAGTGTGATGCCTCCATCAGGTATACAAAAAAAATGCCCCATGTCACTAGTGTCTGGGAAATGCAAACGACAGCCCCAGTGAGATCCCACCTCACACCTGTTAGGATGCTGCTGTCAACCAACAGGAGATGAGTGTGGGCGAGGTGGAGGAGGGGAGCCCTCGTGTGCTCTTGGTGGAAATGTAGACCGGCGTGGCCATTGTGGAAGGAGGACGGGGGTCCTCTCAACCACGGCTGTGGCCCCGTGAGCCCACTCCTGGTACACGGGCAAGGGAGTGAAGCCACCGTCGGGAAGAGACAGCACTCCTGTGTTCACCGCAGCGCTCCTCACGGCAGCCACGATGTGGGAGTGACCTGGGTGTGGCTGAAGAAAATACGGTGCACGCACACGTACCCCAAACATACACACATATACCAAAAACACACACACCCCAAACACATACACAAACACACCAAACACACATACATACATACCCCACATACACACACATAAAACATGCACACATCCCCATACACTTACCCCAAACATACATACATACATGCACACACACCCCATATACACACTCCAAACATATACACACACACCTACCGTACACACACCCCATATACATACACACACCCCATACACACAAACCAAACATACACACACACATACACACACACCAAACATGCACACATACCCCAAACATATGCACACACATACACACACACCCCAAACACACCCACGCATACGTACACACACAAACACCATACATACACACACAAACACACACAATGGGAAATCCCTTGGCCTTAGAAAAGGAAGAGATTCTGCCATGGGTGACAGCGTGGATCGACTTCAGGACACAGTGCTGAGACAAGCCGGGCACGGAAGGACAAATCCTCGTGGGCTCACTCACACCTGGACGGTAAGAGTGCAGAGGCCTGGGGCCAGCGCTGTGGTGCGGTGGGCTAAGCCTCTACTTGCAGTGCCGGTATCCCATTTGGGTGCTGGTTCGAGTCCTGGCTGCTCCACCTCAGATCCAGCTCTCTGCTATGGCCTGGGAAAGCAGTAGAGGATGGCCCAGGTGCTTGAGCCCCTGCACCCACGTGGGAGACCTGGAAGAAGCTCCTGGCTCCTGGCTTCGGATTGGCGCAGCTACGGCCGTTGCAGCCAATTGGGGAGTGAACCAGCAGATGGAAGACCTTTGTCTTTGTAACTCTGCCTCTCAAATAAATAAATGAAATTTTTAAAAAAAAAGGGTGGGGGGAACCCATACAGGCAGAGTCTAGAATGGAGGTGTTGGGCTGGGGGCGGGGCTCTATAGGTCAGCCCAGAGAGACGCATTCTAGAGCCTGCTGGACAGCACCTCCCCCATGGACACCAACCCCGTGTTCACGGCACGTCTCGAGTCTGTCAGAAGGATAGTCCAAAGGCTGAGTGCCCTTCTCACAGCAGAATTAAAACCAAAACTGAAGGAGCCGTGACCCACGGGGGTGCTGGGAGGGAGGGTCGCTCGCTCCCCTTCTGTCCAGTGGGGCTCAGGGCTGCCTCCCCCTGCCCGGGAGGCTCCTCCCAGCCCAGGGGGCCACAGCAGGGGCAGCTCCTCCTGGAGCAGATTCTGGGGAAGCCCCCTGGTGGAGTGGGAGGGGACTTGGACAAAGCCCCCTTGTCTTTCCAGATGGTTCCACTTAGGATGTGGTTTCACTGGCATCCGGAGTAATTGACAGATGCACTCGGGACCCCTTGTCCGAAAGCTCAGGTCCCAGGGAAGCCCGCGGCGGCGGCCGTGGAGCCCCGCAGCTGGCCAGGGCGCTCAGGTTCAACAGGGACTCCTGCCGCCAGCGCCCACGGAGGGTCTGACTCCGTGGCCCCTAGAACGCTGTGAACAACGGTCTCCGTCTTCGCCGACGGCACAAACCCCGCAGCTGCAGAGCTCGTAGGGCCGCACTCCGTGCTCCCCTGGAGACTTGGAGAAGTTAGGTTTTTTGCAAAACATCGGTGCCTGCCCCCGACGTGCACTCCCTGCGTTTACAGGATCCATGAGAGCCTGAGCGCACCCCAGGGCCGGGGACTGCATCTGGCTGCCGGCGGCTCCACCTGCATTCCGCTGAGCTAGCACGGGGCGTCCTTAGAGCACACGTGTTCGTGGTGCAGGAAGTCTCAGTGCGCCAGTGCTTTGTTTACCCACGGGGCCACCGGGGCCACGGGAGAGCGAGGAAGGTGAGCCGGCCACCGGCGTCACCCGCGGGCGCCCAGGTCTAATCTTTTACTTTAATTCCGTATATTTATAAAAAATAGCTTCTAATACTGCAAGAGGCAGCTGATGTGACTAGCTAGGCACAGGGAAACTGATCATAAGAGCTGTGTAGAACCAAGGCACGGTCCCCCATAGCCAGCCGGCAGGAGCTGGCTGGGGCCGTGGGTACCACGGGGACTGCGTCAGGCCGCCTCAGCGCTCCCAGCCCCCACGCAGCCCCCTCCAGAGACCACGCCTGTAGCTGGGCCGCCTGGTTCCAAGGGGCCTGGGGTCACGCCTGTGGACCGGGTGGGGAGCACAGACCCCACTCCCCTCAACTCAAGGAGCTCAAACTGCAGAGTTGGGTGAACCACCCCTCCCCACCACCACCAAAGATCCCAGCATCATGTGGGACCCAGGAGGAAGTGGCTTCTGTGGGAAGGGTGTTGTGGGAGTGGGCGGGGTGGGGGCTGGAACTGCGGGGTCCCCGGCCACATCAGCAGCAGCTGTCACAACCTGACCAAAAGCACGCGCGAACACCAGGGAGGGCGAACAGTCCGTGCTGGGGACGGCGCTGGGTGTTTGTTTTGGTCGTATTGTTTATCCAACGTTCCTTAAAATGTCCCTCCAAAAATTCACTGTGAATAAGGAGGACACTGACTTAGCAGTGCCGTTGAGTTCTGAGACGGCAGCCGCACTGGCTGTGTCCTGCATGCACTGCTCACGGTGGCTCAGGAGACCCCCTCCCCCCCGCCCCGGACAGGTCCTCTCATCCATCTTGGAGAGGAGGAGGCGACTGGCCAAGGCCACACCACTACCCCTGGCCAAGGTCAGTGCTAAAGCCGGTGGACCCTGGACGAGGGGCTCCCGAGCCTTCTCTGTGCTCGAGAGCTGTCTCCATGGCTACTGCTCTCTGTATCCGAGTCCCTTAGAATAACTTAGCAACCAGAGTTAGAGAGCTCAACCAGAGTTAGAGAGCTCAGTCACAGTTCTTTGACTGCTTAATTTGGATGCCTCTTATTCGAGATACAAAGATGTGTTACGTGGGACCAGCGTTGTGGCGTAGTGGTTTGAATCACTGCCTGCAAAGCTGGCGTCCCATATGGGCGCCAGTTCGACTACCAGCTGCTCCACTTCCTTGCTAATGTGCCTGGAAAAGCAGGGGAGGATGGGCCAAGTCCTTGGGCCCCTGCACCCACGTGGGAGACCTGGCGAACGCTCCTGGCTCCTGGCTGCAGATCGCCCAACTCCAGCCATTGTGGCCATTTGGGGAGTGAACCAGCGGATAGAAGACCTCTGTCTCTTTCTCTCCGCATCTCTATAAGTCTGCCTTTCGGATAAAATAAGTAAATCTTGAAAATATATTTTATTTTACCTTTGAAAGCCGTAGTGCAATTACACCTCCATGCACTGTGCCGGGGGTCCTGCACACCGGAGCTCCGAGACCACTGCCAGGGCCCCCAGGCAGCTGCAGCCAAGTCAGCTGTGAGACGGGAGGTCGGGGCTGTGAAACCTGGGCTGCAGCAGCACCCGGGGGGCTGGGCCTGAGCGGGAGGCCAGAGTGCTCCGCCGGGCGTGTCCGCGGTCTGGGCCAAGTTCCCGGGCGCCCAGGCCAGGGGCTGCAGGGGGTGGCGGTCCGTGCGCACCCACAGGTGATTTGAATCAAGTTCAAGGAGCTGCAGAACTTCAGGAGCCACAGCCACTCTTGGCCGGGAGCAGCCTGGGTGTGGGTGAGGGGTGGGAGCCGCCCACAGGGGCTGCCGGCCTGCGTCCCTACCCGCTGCAGAGTCCTGCGCCGTCTCGACGTCAAGACGTAGAGCGCCGTGAAACCCCCGGCAGACCCCCCCACCTGCGCCCTGATTGTGGCTCCAGCCCCAGCCCGTGGTTCACGGCTGATGGGGGCAGCCCTGGACACACAGAAATCATGGAGAAGGGACTTAAATCCCCCGGTCACTTCACCACAGAGGGGCGGCCCCTTCCAAGTGCTGGGCCGTGCTGCCTCCTCAGCTGATCCTTCTCTCTCGTCACCCTTCACGGGAACGCGCCCAGCTGTTACTTTAGACAAGTCCTCAAATTCTAAAACCCAGACTGGCCTTCCTGTTAGGGTCTAAAAAAAAAAGCCCACCGCCCGAGGAACGACTCCAAGAGACTTTTTCTCTCATGCAACCAGCAAAGGGTTAAATTTATTGATCCAACATGTTGGGGCCCTCTGACAAGGACAGAGGAGCAGTGAGGAACTACAGCATAGGGTTTATAAAGGCAAAAACCGCAAAATCGGGAGGAGGGAGAGAATACACGGTTGCTAAAATCTTACAATCAGCAATTATGATTTTAAGACACAGACAAATCACATCTTCATTATTAGCCCAGGTAACCCAGGTGCAACCTTTCTACTTTTAAGCTTGAGCAATCATGCTAGGGGGTTTTTGTGCGTTGCCAAGGGTGGTGTAGTGCACTGCTATTGTCCGACTATTTGAGATCATAGTTTCAGACCAGAGTCTCACGGTGGGGGGGTGCATTCCCAGAATGGAGTCTCAAGTGCTCCAAAATGGAGTCCCTACTGTCAAGGTGCTACTTTACTCTGTCTTATTTTCACAGCTGCACCAGGAAGGTTTTTAAACCTGTAAGCTTAAGCTTAACTTTTGACACCCATACATATACAATTTTAACTCTTCATTCCCCACTCCTTGTTGTGAGGATCTCTAATCTTAGAGATTATTCGTTTTTGTCTCTTTTAATGTGACATATTGTTGTCTTACAACCATGAGTTTAACATTTTTAACTTGTTCCCACATGAAGGTGATGAGTCTATTTTACACATAAGGTCCTATGGTTACAATTAGGAGTAGAACAATTAAGGGTCCTGTTAGGGCTGACAGTAGAGTAGTAAGCCATGGGGACCGGCCGAACTATGACTCAAACCATCCCTGTTGAGTTTCCCTCTCCCGTTGCCGTTTTTTCAGTCATTTTTTTGAGTTTAGCCATGGAGTTTCTAACCACCTCAGTTTAGTTGACATAAAAACAACATTTTTTTTTTTTTTTTTTTTTTAGGGCCGCGCATAACCCACCCCCATGAAAATGAGATTTAACCCCCCCGCCTGTTCTGTAATACTGAAATGCAGATACTGGGCTGCATCTGGGAGATTGTGGAAGATTTGTCAGGCAGAAGGGGCAGGGACCCCCACCTGGCAGGTTATCAGGTAGAAGCGGGCAGGGCAGGATGCAAAGGCCAGGCTGCCCGTGAAACATTGTCAGGATGACTGAGATGCAGATGCATATGCTGGACACATTAGGCCTTTATGTCACACACACATAAGCTCATAACTGACTTTCTGCCTAATATTTTCCCCTCAAGAGGTAATACCCAAAATTCTTCTTTGGGATTATGGATGGAGTTCCGTTTTCTGTAACTTCTTCGAAGCTGGCATGTGGGCGTCGAGGGGGATTTGGGTATTTCCTCTTGCTACCTGTCTTATGGTGTGCAACTGTGGCCTTGGAAAGACTGTGTTGCTCGGTCCAGAGGGCTGCTCAGGTTGTCCAGTGGAATGGGCTGGAAGCCTTGCCTGATGACCATTTGGAGTTCAACAGCTTTTAGTCTGTTAGAGACAAAACGAACAAGGGCATTAAAAACACACGGTGCAAAGAGAAGCATCAAGATTGCAGAAGTTAGTGGGCCAAGGAGAGGAAATAGCCAGGATTTCCATGACCAGATGTCAGGCCAGAAATCCCAGCTCTGCTTGGCCTGGTCCTGGAGCTGTTTGGCTTTTTCCAGGAAAAGTACAAATCTGGGTTTGTGCCTGTCTAGTCTGATTGACCCAGAGACAATTTTTTTTTTTTTTTTTTTGATATTTAGTAGCCAGTTTTGCTAGGAAGTTAAGCCAATGTACAAGACTAGAGTCTCAGGCTGGGAAAAGGACAGACTAATGAATTATTTACATTTAACCATTTATATTATGGATTATTGTGCACACCCCTTAAGAGATAGGCCCTTTAAGTCCTCAGTGAGGACCTGTTCAAATCGGTGTAGGGCTATCTGAGTTAGCTGTTACCGAAAGCCCTGTTTTTAGGAACTGGCAGGGAGGGCTTTCTAAGCTTAATGTTATTGGATAGACTTTTAAGGCCTGGCTGGGTGTGTGAGGCCCAGACCTATCCATGGGGTGCTGGAAGAGAATTGAAAGAGATGCAAATCTCCTTTAAGGGAGGCACCCTGTTGACTTGCATTACATGGATGGACTAGGAGGAGAGCTGAATAGGAGGCTGATGGAAATAGGCAACTTGCATGTCACTGACCCTAGGCCATCCCCTCAATAGCAGTGGCTGGAGCTGGAAGCTGGGCAGAGGCTGGGCAGAGCCAAAGGCTTTTTAGCTCGGGGCCACAGGGTCAGCGGTTCTGAACCAGGAGTCCTTCGACACCCAGGGCAGTTCCGTGTCCAGTGGCCGTGCTCTTGGCAGGGCTGACAGAAGGCATTTGCTGTCACGACAGCTGCTTGCCCAATGCCCTGTCTCCTTATATCAGCAACAGGTGCCATTTGGGGTGCACTGGCCTTGCTGGGTCTCCTTGATGGCAATCACCGTGTAAAGCAGCCATTGATTGGTCTGTTGCCTATCCTCTGCTGCTAGCTTGCTCCTCATTTTTCTGGTCTCTAATAAAGTAGACAAGGAGGCAGCCTCTATGATGTCAGTCAAGGGGGTGCTCAACCCATCCCTGATTTTTGGAGATTTTTTTAAATATCAGGGTGAGCTAGAAAAACTATGGTCATGGGCAAATTCTGACACTTAATATTTTCCTGCGAGTTAAGACCGTGCCCATGAGGAGAACTATGACCCTTTAGGTAAGATTAACTGTGGTGACCTGCTTGCATACTTTGAGGTGGTCAGTGTAACTTTTTACACCGAAAAATTGATCTAGTTGTTACATTATTTTATAGTTCAACCTTTTTTGTTGTTGTTGTTGTTTGGGGCCCTATACTGTGGCCAGGCATTATTACAGAAAAGGTCAGTCATCCCTTACATAAGGTCTGGGGATCAAACCGTACATCACAGTGGAGAGTCCTGCAGAACAGTAGTAACTTCCCTTCTGGAAGAGAAAAGAGGAGAAGTGAGGCAGCGAGTCGGGTCTCTAGCCTGACTTTTTGGGCTTTTAGATTTAACTGGCAGTTTAACCAGTGTTTACTGTGTAGCCTGACTTAGAGGAGAAATTGTGGCAGAGGTCTCTGCCATTCTTTGGCTTCCAGGTATTTACCGTATAGCCTGTGGACACTAGAGCTTTCTTGGGTTTTTGAAACCCAGTTTTCTAGCATCTGCCGCATAACCATAACTTAACAGAGACAGTAGAGTACACAATGGATTAACATGAATTTTATGTCTCTTGTTGTCGAATAAACCAGAAATAAAAAAACCTTGTATATAAGAGTTTACATAATTTAGGATTATTTAACAGAGTCAAAAAAAAAGCTTACAGGACCTAACTTTAGAAATGGCAGAGTAACCAAATAAGCAGACACTGTTAAAATAGACGTTACAGTTTTTGCAAAAACAGATTTTAAGATTTATGATTTAGACCATTTTTAGATATTTACTAACATTAGTACACATTTTTTTTTTTTTTAAAAACCCATTGTTATAACAGATCAGACTTTAACTTTAGGTTAGTGTAATTTTGGCATTAGCACTCAACTCTGTAAACAATATTTTAAAATTGTAAACATTTTAAAACTTTTTATGACTTGTTTATACCTTTTGAAACTTTATACCCGTAGTTACTTTTACATAGCCTTGAATTGTCATGTATGGACAACCTATGAGAATACACATTAACAAACTCAAACAGTTTTTTTTTTATCGAATTTGAGATGTTAAAAGTATATATAATATATTTTCCCAAGTTTTACTTAGCACTGATGCCTAGATGACTTAAGACACTGAGTTATTAATGAATACCACATCATTATCTGAAATAAAAGTTAAAATTACATTTTTATGTTTTTAAGTAACATGAGGATAACACCTCCTGGACAGCAAACACTAGTGCATGTTTACAACTTTGAAAAGATCTTCCTCATTAAGAGAAACAAGTTTAAAGCATATCAAAGACATGTAAAACTGAGCAAGCAAGCCACTGAGCAAACCGAAGGGTGTTTGCATTACCTCAATTTTTTGAACCAATCTGTATTGGCTTACTTTAGTTAACAACATAAAGGCTTGTATACACAGAATTTACTCTTATTTTTATAAGACCACTTTAGCTGGAAAGCAAAAACATAAATACAGCATAGGTCTGACACCATTTATAACATTTTAATATATTTTATATAATTTGAATTGACCCAAGCAGCTGTTACTTTAACAAATTTAGAGTCTCATTCTTTGAGAGTTCCAGGGATCCGGCTGGAAGCCCAAAGTTGGAAGACTCGGTTTAGAATTTAAGCTGTCAGAGAGTCAAACCATTTAGCCAAAATTAGTACATTTCTGATTAGTTGGATAATCACTCAGACATTAAAAACAGATAAACAATGTAAACAACTTTGCATTGTAGTTTTCCCAATTAAGACTCTAATGGCAATAGAAAAACACGAAACCTTCAAGACAGGTGAATGCTCTCAGATGAATAACCCATTGTTTAGGTTTTTATTAGCTGCAAAGAGAAAAACCCATCAGGTTGGTAAGGGTTAATGGCTTAAGGTTCTGGCTCCCTTAGGTAAGACCAGCAGTAGTATTGAATTGGAAATTCCTCCAGGAGAGGAGAGAAAAAGCAACCCTGGGGTGGGGGCTCTGCCTAGAGATATTTGGCTATGCCTGCCTGAGTGCGGCAGGTCACATGAACTAGAATACAGTGCAGAGAAAGGCTGTGGTCCCCCATTTACAGGGAAGACTGCACACACTGTGGCCTGGCAGGACTAACCGTGGGGTTGGGTAAGTGTGCCGTTTTACTAAGAGTGTTGGGAACCTCTTATAATTTAACCAAAGCCAGATCAATTAGGACTACTGCAGACACTCAGTCAATTACAACAGATAGTTAACTTTAGCTTTTTTTTAGATTTAGTCCTCAGGCAATCAAAGCTTAGCAACAGTAATACTTCACAAAAAACTTTAAGACGCACCAGAGCTACCATAAGCTGCAAAGACTTTTTACCAGGTTGGAAAGGGTTAACAGGTAACAGGTAACAGCTTTTCCCTAGGTGGAGAGACTTGTGGAATTTCCCTCTCCCTTTCTCCTGGCCAGTGGTATAGGAATGGAGATGAGGAGAGCAAAAGAGTGGCAGAGGGAGCTCCTGGGAGGAGGAGGAAGGCAGAAAGCAATGAAGCTCCTCATGTCTGGGGGCTGAGTGGGGTTTGAAATCTCCTATCGCTCAAGGTTACCCACTACCTAGTTGTCTGAGTTTACCTGAAGGGCCAATATTAGCCTCGACCGAAGCTAAGCCCTGCTCGCGTAGCAGTAGGCAGCGTGACCAGGCGTCCCTCCAAGAGAGAGACCTGATCCTCGGGTCGCAGTCCGGCCGCCGGGAAGCCAAAGCGAGCTCAGGGGGTCTCCAGGCTCTCAGCCAACTGCCCTTCCTAATTTCCCTCCCGTTCCTTACAATCCCTCTGGAGTTTCGGCCGTAGCTAAGCCGTGGCCGGGGGGACTCCGCGTTCTCGGAGAGCTGTGGGGTGCCGGACACTCAACGGTCACTTCCACAGATCCGGTCCCGCTTGAGGGAAGGAATACTGACCTTCGATGTCTTCTTAAAATCCCCGTCTGGGTGCCCATGACGGCCAGGCTGGAGAACGGCCTCTTTCACTCGGCTAATGAGTGGTAAATGGAATGAGCCCTCCGGGGGCCAATCCACTCTGAGAGCAGGTCATTTAGAGACACAGAAAGACTTTACCTTTTTGACTGACAAAGAAAGGTTATGTGCCTAGTGGCTTACCTCTGACCAATGATTCAAAGTTAGAGACAAAGGTGTAGACACAGTCTGGCCCATGTTAGCAGACAACACAATGTACACAAACAGACAAACAGCGTAGAGAAGCAGCATACAACGACCACACAAATGTCTACCAAATGGGAGCCATCACGGCGTCCCAAAAATGCTTAACAAATACAAAAGACTAACGAGCTCGATCAAATACCAAAGTTTCGGCAGTACAAACAAAACGTGAGTCTCTGCAGTCTGTTTCCCTACTGCAGGCAACCCACCAAACAGGAGACACTGGGCGTCCCCAGTTCTCCCTTTCTCCTGGGGCGTCCCCCGGGATGTGGTTTGTGGCTCTGGAGCACGTCTGCCCGCCACAGTCGGGTGGAGCTCTCGCTCAAGCCCGACAACCACGCTGCGGATTACAAACAAATAACAAACCTTACCAAACAACAAATCAAAGTGTACACGTTCAATCAAAACAATAGGCGCCATACTCACCCTGAGAGATATCCGTTGGAGGCGTCCACAGGCAGCAGTCAGATCTCGCTGGGGCCTCCAAATGTTAGGGTCTAAAAAAAAAAGCCC